TCATTCCCCAAAGAGCTGGGGCAGCTACAGGTGATGGCTTGATCCGTCAGGGTGCAGGACCAACTGCACGCGCAGCCCCGAAGACGTGACTTCCTAAGGTTCCATTCATTTCCAGCAGCCAAACCAGGTTTTTAAGTTTGGAGTTGAGATGCTACGTTGTGGCATAGTGTGTTAAACCACTATCTGTGGTGCCAGCATTCCGTACGGACGTGGGTTCAGGAACCAGCTGCTGCATTTCTGATCCAGCTCCCTGCTTGTGTCCTGGGAAGGCAGCAGAGGATGGCCCAAGTCCCTGGACCCTGCACTCACATGGGAGAGCTGGGACCAGTCCCTGGCCTCCTTCCTTCTGTAAATCTGCCTTTCAAATAAAAACAAATATGTCTTAATTTTTTTTCTCACCAACTGTCACAGGAGTGAAATTTTTTTCTTTTTATAATCTTACATGGTTGATTAGGGTACAAAGGGTCAAGGGCTACAGGAAAGTGGCTAAGACCATTGTTTCCACTAATATCTTTTCTCCCCCTGTACCTGGGGTCAGGGGAGAGACAAAGGGAGAAGCCCCACCCAGCCTCCCACCCAGCCTCCCACCCACCCCAGGTCCCCGATGTGGGGCACGCTCCGAAGGTCCTGCTCAAGCAGTTCTGACAGTTCAACAGTTCTGAATTGCTGCCAATCTCACCATTGCAAGCACAATGAAATCTCTTCAGAATCCACTGGCTGACATAGTCTCTTCATGGTTGGGGTTCTGAGAGCAGCAGTTCAGTTGGAGGGATCTCCCAAGAAACTTCATCTGAGGTGATCCCAGACCTGATTCTTGGGTGTGCTTGCCAGTACAGGGTCTGGCACAGTCCGTCGCCCCAGTCAGCTTATGCACATGCTGGTCATTGCGATTGCTGGGCCAGTTCTGTTTCCAGCCCTGTCTTCTACTTGAACAAATGGGTGTTGTAGCCCAGCTCGATCCTACCCACTTCATACTTGGTCCTCATGCAAACCAGTGGGAACTGCAGCCTAGCTGGGGCAACTCCCCATAACCCCTACCAGGCCTGGCCCCTACCCTGGTTCCCATGCTTGCCAGTATGTACCACAGGCTTGTTCAGTCTGTCCCACATCCCATTTAGCTCTCTTACATGTCAATGGGCATTGAAGCCTAGTTCAACCCAACCAACCTACTATCCAGCCCCCACACACATGCTGGCGGGTGCCATTCTGTCCAGCCACCCCTGCCCTGCCCTGGTTTTCATGCCCTCCAGTGGGAGTGGTACCCATGAGGGGGGTGCCCACTATCTCCCTACTAGGCCACTCCCACTCCTGGATTATGCACTCTCCAGGTGCTTCTGGAGGTTAACTTGACAGATTCAGCCCCCAGTGCCAGCCTCTGCCAGCTGATGATGTGGCAAAGTCCAACCAACCCTCACCTACTCTAATTTTTGCTTGCACCAGTCAGAACAGTCAGCCCAACCTGGCTCTTCCCTGATCTAGCTCACATGAGGCCCACAGGTGTTGTAGCCCTGCCTGGTCTGGTCTGCCCCCATCCCAACTCACGCTCTCCAGTGGGAGTGCTTGTCCAGCAGGGACCCCACATTCCCCCTGCCGGCTTTGCCCCCTCCCTCCCTGCTTCTCACGTGTGCTGTTTGGGTGCTGCGGCCACACCTGGCACGGCTCACCTCACCTTGGCATTCCATAATGTGTACTGGTTTGTGTTGTGACCGAACCTGGCCTGATCCACACTCTATTCTGGTGCTCAGATTCACCAGCGGGTGATGTGAACTGGTTCAGCCTGGTCTGCCCCCCGACCTGTGCCAAATGTATGCTGGTGAGCGTCTTCCTCGGCCTGGTCTGGGTTGCTCCCTATTGTGGCTCTTATGCTCACCTGCAGGGACTGTCTTCCAACAGAGGAAAGCTCCTCCATCAGAACCTCTCCCTGGGCCAGATCTTGCGCGTACTGGTGGTTCCATGGGCCAGCCCTGCTTTCTGGCCTTCAATCCATTCCAGTTCTTACTGTTAGGTGTTTCACCCCAGCCAAGGCTCATCCATACCCAGACACTGCTCACACGTGGCTCAGTAGGGACAGAGACCTAGCCTAGTCCATCCTACATCTACCCAGGTTCTCCAGAGCGCCAGATGGCGCTGGCGTCTAGTCCGGTTATGTGCACCCAGCTCCAGTCCACATTTGTGCCTAGGGAGATTGCAGCCATATCCAGACCAGAATGCAGACCCCACTCTGGCCCCTGCACCCTCCCGTGGGAACCCCAACCCAGGAAGGGTGTACTCTCACAGCTCCCCAACCAGGTCTATTTCCAGCCCTAAATTACGCACATGCCAGTGGTTGCTCAGACCCAGTTGGCTTAGCCCCTCACCTGTCTCAGCCTTTGCCTTCGATGCCGTGTCATAGCATCCCAGCCTCATGCAGACCAATCGGTGTAAGAGCCTAGTTCAGCATGACCTGTGCTCCATCCTGATTTCTGTTCTTACTTGTGAGTTGAGGTTTGCTTGGCCCTGCACGGTCCGCTCCCTTCCAGTTACAGCTCAGCCCACCCCACATCCTGTTTTAGGATGCACATTTGGGTGGTGCTGCCTTGACCTGCCCAGATTGCCATTGGTTCCTTTACCCGTAAGTGATGACAGGTACCATGGTGACACCTAGCTCAGCCCATCATCACCCCAGCTCGCAAGCTAACCAGAGGGACCTGTATTTCCACAGGCTTCGGCCCACATTCCCCCACAGAATCTACCCCCAGATCTAGTTCTTACATGGCTGGTTAGTGTCTTGACCCTATCATGTGTGACCCATCCACTGTTCCACCACTCAGTCAGGTGCTGGTACCCAGCCCTGACAGACAGGCCCCATCCACAGCTTTGGTGTGGACTGGTGTGTGGCAGTCAGTGATGCTCCATGCTAACAGCCCATCTCAGGACTCCCATGCGGGCTGGTGAATCAGTCTGGTCCAGATAGATCTTATGAACACTCCCCTCCAAACCACCAGGTCTCAGTCTCCATGCTTGCCAGAAAGTTCCATGACCCCGTTGCTGGGAATCACACAGGAGTCATCGCTCACCTACGCTCACACTGGCCTTATCCATGGGTGCCCCTAGGAAGCAGTCACATACCCTAAAAACCCCAGAGCTCGCCACCGGCCTGCCAGCAAGCACAGCCTGGCACCACTTGGTGCGCTGGCCGCCCAAAGCCTAGCACTCGGTCACTGCCTGGTGGCACTGACTTTGGCCCGAGTCCCAAAGTCCCCACTGGCATTGGGTCCAGCCTGGCTGGGGCACCCCCTACAGCCACCACATGGCTGAGTGACTTTTACAGCAAAAAGTCGCAGCTTTAGATGTGTAGGTCCCGCCCCGCCCAACTCCTCTCCTGTGGCTCTGTCCCCGCTCTGGGCTCTGGGGCCACGGCGTGGCCTTGGCATTCCAGGAGTGGCGGGCAGGTGCAGGGGTGAGGCCTGCTCCTCACCAGGCATGACACGGTGAGGCTGGCAGCCTCAGAGCTCCGTGCTGCTGGGTGCTGGTTACAGCAGTCCAGGGCGCTGACTCCTGCCTGGCTCAGCACCGGCCTAAGGCCCAGCCCCAGAGCTGCCCTGCTTGCAACGAGCCAGAGCTCTGTGCGAGGAGGCACTGGGAGTGTGTGGGTGCATCTCTCTCTCCCTCCGCGTTTGTCTCCGAAAAGACCCAAATCCCGGCAAGTCGTCGTGGCGCCCCGTCACCACGAGGCGGCGGAAAGCTCCGGAGTTCGGCACCTGTGGCCAGTTGTCCTGGCGCACAGCGATGCGATTGTCCCTTCCCTTGTTCGTTCGTGCCCACACGGGAGGCTGCCCAGCTCCTGCAGACCCTGGTGGGCAGCTGAGACGCTGTCCCCGCACGTGGGGATGGAGCTTTCGGTCCTGCAGCCGAGGTGAGCTCTGTCCGTTGCGCTGATGTCCAACAGGGTCCCTTGGCTGGTCCTCCACAGGGCACAGGTGTGCCTCTCCGGGCTGGCCCTGAGACCCAACTCCCATCCTGGGCACAGCCGGAGGGCTGGGGCCGGCCCCCTGCCACTTCCCCCTCCACTGCCCACCACTGGCTCGTCCCCACGAGGATCCGCTCTCAGCGGAGATGTGAGGGGCTGTGTCGCCCCACTGCGGACTTGCAAAGGGCTGGCGTGCTGGGGCCGACCCTCTTACTGCTTTATGCTTTGTGTGGATTCCTCCCTGCTGGCCCCACCCAGCGTTCTGGAGAATTGCAGATGGACTTGACTGCACGTGGAGGTCAGACATTCCTCGCCGAGATGCCTGGCTTGCTGCCTCTCTCAGTTGAGGGGGTCAGCGAACACTGGGCCCAGGCCCCCACACGGCAGCCACCACAGGCCCAGGATTTGTTTTCCCAGTTGATGGAGACCTCACACAACCTGCCATTCTCTCCCCAACTCAGTCACTTATTCCCTGCCCCTCCACCTGATCAGCCCCGCCCACAGGCTGTCAATCATTTCTCCCACCTAACTGGCCCCGCCCCCAGGCTGTCAATCATTTCTCCCACGTGATCACACCCACTCACTGTAAAATTGATCCTGTAAACCCTTCAATGTGTAAGACTGAAGAACAAACACAAGACTTCCCATTCAGGGAGGTGCGGGGCTTTCTGACAAAAAGGGGGCGAGAGCCGACGCTGCCAGGGGTCCCTTCCTTGGGGAGGAGGGGCAGTACATGCTCGCAGGATCACCCCCTGCACCCAGCACCCCTCTCCTCGGCATGCACCCCTCCGAGCCCCTGGGTCACCCCCTGCACCCAGCACCCCTCTCCTCCGAGCCTCTGGGTCACCCCCTGCACCCAGCACCCCTCTCCTCGCCTCTGAGTCATCTCCTGCACGCAGCACCCCTCTCCTCCGAGCCCCTGGGTCACCCCCTGCACCCAGCACCCCTCTCCTCGGCGTGCACCCCTCTCCTCGGCGTGCAGCCCTCCGAGCCCCTGGGTCATCTCCTGCACCCAGCACCCCTCTCCTCCGAGCCCCTGGGTCACCCCTGCACCCAGCACCCTGCCATGAGCACACAGCAGCTTCGCTTGAACAGCTCCTGCTGGTAGCAGCTCACCTAGTCACACCCAAGGGGACACACACAGTGGACAAGGAGCCCAGGAAGACACACGTGCCCAGCAGGCTTAACTGGGGCCCTCCTGTGAGCCCGCCTACCCACCTTCCCCGCCATGACTGCAGAGGCCAACTGAGCAGGGCGCCCCAGATCGCTGGCCCGCAGGCCGAGGGGACACCAAGGTGGACGGAGCGAGGCACCAGGCATCCACACACCGGGCCAGCAACTTTATTCCTCTCCGAGTCAGAGAGCTGTGCTCTGCAAGTCTCCCCAGGGGCGGGCATCCTGTCCACCTGCGCCTTAGGCTCCCCGGGCCAGCACCGTGTGGGTTCCTCCCCGACACGCAGAACCCACGTGCTGCAGACCAGGGGCGGGCAGCGCCTCCTTCAGAGCCTCCTGCCCCAGCACCTTCTCTCCACGGGCCCCACGCGGCACCTGGGGCTCTGGCTCAGTCTGAACTGCTGGGGCAGAGGGGCTGGGCAACCGGGAGGAGGGCCAGGGCAGGGCAGAGGGGACACAGAACTGGACGGTGAGCGCCAGGGCGCGACGAAGGGAAGCAGAGCGTCCTACTGGGGCTGAGAAAGGATAGGACGGAGAGGGTGCCGGGGAGGCGCGCGGTGGCAGCACCGAGGGCGGGCGCGGCAGCAGCGACCCCTAGCCCAGGGGCCACGGCGGGAAGGGGCCCCCGCTGTCCGGGGCCGGCGCCGCCCCCGTCTGCGCGCTGGCTGCCGCGCGCCCGTGGATGCGCTGGTGCCGGAGCACGTGCTCGCGGCGCCCGAAGCCCTTGCCGCACTCCCAGCAGGCGTAGGGCCGCGCGCCCGAGTGCGTCTTGCGGTGGCGCACCAGGTGCTCGCGCCAGTAGAAGGTCTTGCCGCACTCGCAGCACGCGTGCGGCTTTTCGCGGGCCGGCAGCGGGCGCAGGGCCGGCCCCAGGGCGCCGGGGTGCGTGCCCCGGTGGCGCCGCAGGTGCTCCTTGCGCCGGAAGGCCTTGCCGCACTCGGGGCAGGCGTGCGGCTTCTCGGCCGAGTGGCTCTGCCGGTGGCGCAGCAGGTGGGCCGGCTTCAGGGACGTCTTGCCGCACTCGGGGCAGGCGGCGGTGCCCGGGGCCACGAGGAAGGCCGGCAGGCTGGGGGCCAGCGGGGGGCTGCTAGGTTCCTGCTTGTAGGGCCGCGCGGCCTGGGCGTCCCCGGCTGTGGCCGGCCCCTGCACGGCCGGCTCCGCGTCTCCTGCTGGAAGAGGCACGGGGTCAGAGGGCCAGTCGGCACGGGGTCGCCACGGTGGGCTCATCAACAGTGGCTGCGCAGGTGGACAGCCGGGCACCCCTCCCTGCCATCGCCCGGGGCTGGCCGTGCGCGTGTCCGGACCCGTCATTTCTGCGCATTTGCCCGGCCGCGCGCGGAGGGACGCGTGGGGCTGCGTGGGAGGTGAACCAACAGGAAGAGGAGCTGTGGATGTGAACGCGGAGGTGGGGATGGTGGGAGGACGAGGAGGGGAGTGAATGGATGGGGACACACAGCAGGAGATGCAGAGCCCAGCGCGGGAGGCGGCTGCGGGACCAGCGCGGGAGGCGGCTGCACCCCACGGAGCAGCCACAGGGTGAGCGGGTGGGTGGGCGACGCGCGAGGCAGCGCAAAGGTCCACTGTGACAAAACGATTCCGAAATCCACACACATAAGAGTCTTTAAAGATTCTTTGGAAATGCATACGAAAATTTGCATGCATTTCCAAAACTTTCTTGCACCAAAAATCCTGCTCTCTCCATTTTCCAACCCCCCCCTACACCCAGGCTCTGGCCCCAGACTCTGCCCGCCGTCTTTGGTGAGGCGCCTGTGCCCTGGAGGGAGCCCACACCGCCCCACGCCAGCTCCAAGCGGGATGCAGGGGCCAGCCCACGGCAGGGGAAGGTGGCCAGGTGGCCGGCTGCTCACCTAAGGGGACCATGCCACTGCCGACCTTTCCAACGCTGAGCCCGGAGCCTTCAGTCACTTCCTGCGGCGTCCTCACCCCAGACGGCCGGTCTGGCGAGGCGGCGGGTCCCTACGGCAGGATGCCACATTCCACTGAGAAACCCTAGTGGGGGCCAGCGCCTCCAGCACTCTCCCTGCCCCCTCCCACCTGGCACTTAGCCCTGGGGAGGGGGCAGGGCACACGAGCAGGGGGACACTCCAGCCACCCTACGGCCAAGCCAGGCCAAACGGAGCAAGGCAAGGGCTGGTTCTAAGCCCGGATCCTGCCGGCTCTCGTCGGGAGGCAACGCACACCTGTGCTGCTCTTCACGCCAGAGACAACGTGACAACGTGGCCAAGGGGAGCTTTCTCAGGGCCCACGGTGGGCAGCGGCCAAGCCAGAGCCCGGCCTGGGGAGCCAGGGAGGATGTGCCCTCACCCCCGCCCCATCTCTGCCTTGCTGTCCTGCTAGGAGAGGACACGGGCTCACGGGCGCTGAGGGAGGCAGGTGCCCAGGCGGAGGTTTCCACTCTCACGCCGCGTGCCGGGCACTGGGCACAGGCCGCAGTGGACATCCCCCATTCCCGTAGCGCCCAGGCTGGGGAGGGCCACACTCTGCCATGCCGCTTCCAGGGTGCCCACTGCCGGGCCAGGCATTTACGACCCTCTCTGGCTCCGGCCAACCTGACTCCTGGCCTCTGAGGCAGTGCCCTGTGCTGCCCTAGTGTGCGCTGGGCCCCAGCCTGCCAGCTTCTCCCGGGCCTCCCAGCAGCCTCCTCGGCCTGACTGCCAGCAGGTGCCTCCCATGCTGGCTGGCCCCCCGGGACTCGGGGTACCTGCTATCAATGATCCCGGGCGCCATCTGCACGGGAGCTCAGGATGACCCGGCCACATTGAGCAAGCCACTGTCCCTCCTCAGTGTCATCTCACAGCCATGAGTGCCCAGCCGGGCACCGCTGGGGCGGGAAGCAGCTGGGGTCACACAAGGCCACTGCACCTGCAGCTCCATGCAGCTCCGGGGCCAGGAAGCCAGCTACGCCTCGGAGCTTCAGGAGCTTACCCTCAGAGGTGACCGTGGGGTCCAGGGCCGGCCCCTGGGACTGTCAGCTGCCGGGGACAGGGACAGTGCCAGGCCTCTGCTCTGGCCAGGGGCCCAGGAGCCCTGGCTCAGCAGACAGGCTGTGTCAACACTGACTCTGGCCGGCCTGGAGGCCGAGGTCAGCCTGGCCCACATGCTTGGGTTCCCAAACACCTCCCAGTGCCGCTGGGGCTTGTCACCTCGGCAGGCTGGGCAAGTCCTGCACTCCAGGACTCCAAGAAGGGCTGACCGGCTCAGACCTTTCTGAGCCACACGCCCACCCGCCTGCCCGCCGGGCACCTCACCCACAGCTCCTCCAGCAGGGCCACGGCCTCCTCCCCGCTGCGCGGCCGCCGGCTGCACACCCAGGCCTGCGTGTCGGCGGGCAGCGCGCTCAGGAACTGCTCCAGCACCAGCAGCTCCAGCATCTGCTCCTTGGTGTGCACCTCGGGCCGCAGCCAGTCGCGGCACAGCGCCCGCAGCAGCCCCAGCGCCTCCCGGGGCCCCGCCGCGTCGCCCAGGTGGAAGTGGCGGAAGCGGTGCCAGGGCGAGTCCAGGGTCAGGCCCGCGGCCAGGCCCTCAGGGGAGCTGCTCTCCTGCTTCACGGGCTGCGGCAGCTCGGGGACCTCCATGGCTCCTCGTGGGGCAGACACGGTGGAGCCTGTGGGAGGGAGGCACGGCGAGGTGAGTGGGCCTGGGCAACTCGGCAAGCCTGAGGGGCCACCCCAGCCCCCACCTGCTGGCCAGGCCTGGGCATCTCTGCGACCTGAGGGGCCACCCCAGACCCCACCTGCTGGCCAGGCCTGGGCATCTCAGCAACCCTGAGGGGCCACCCCAGCCCCCACCTGCTGGCCAGGCCTGGGCAACTTGGCAACCCTGAGGGGCCACCCCAGCCCCCACCTGTTGCCCACTGTAGAACAGGTGCCCAGGAAGACCTGTGGAACTGAACAGATGGAGGCCTCCCTGGGGACTGGCCATAGGCACTCCAGTACCTGCCTGCCCAACTGCTCCCCAGCCCCACTGTGGGGGTAAATCATGAAACTGCACAAAGGGCTTGCAGTGTAGCCCACTATACAGCCAAGTCCAGACGAGGAGGTCCCCCTGTGGGCATCATCGCTGGCCACAATGCCAGGCAGACAGACCCCCTCTCCCCGCCCTTCCGACTGAACATGGTGGTGGCCTCGAGTGACACCTGTAGGTAGGGCCTGGCGGCGGGCTGAGGCACCGCCTGTTGTAGCAGCGTTTTACAGCAAAGCACAGGCTGTTCCACTTCCAGCCTATCTTCCTGCTGATGCAGCCGAGAGAGCAGCAGAGGACCGACCAAGTGTGAATCAGGAGTGTGTGGCCCACGCAGGACTCTGCATGATCTGAGGGGTGTGCAGCCCACGTGGGTCTCTGCCACGGATCTCAGGGGTGTGCAGCCCACGCGGGGCTCTGCCACGGATCTGAGGGGTGTGCAGCCCACGCGGGGCTCTGCCACGGACCTGAGGGGTGTGCAGCCCACGCGGGGCTCTGCCACAGTCCTGGTGGGGTGGCGTGTGGCCTATGCAGGGCTCTGCCATGGACCTGAGGGGCATGCAGCCCACGCGGGGCTCTGCATGATCTGATGGCTGGGGCTCTGAGGACCCAGGCAAACATCACCTGCCAGTCCCACCTGGTATACAGGCAGAGGACTCACACTGTCCTCTCGCGACCCCACGCGTGAGAGCTCCCAAAGCCCCCGCCTCCAAACACCAGCATCTCTGGGTCAGCTCCCACAGTCTAAACTTGGGCGACACAGAACACACACAGCCACAACCGACTGAGTGGATTAATGGCTGCCGGCCCCCAGCCACATGGGGTGCTGGCAGATGGGGCTCCCCAGTCCCCACGTGTCCCACTCCCTGGCCCTGGGAGTGAGGCTCCGGGACCCTGGTGGCTGTGGGGCGGGTGGCCTGGCCTGGTCAGCGCCTGCCACCCAGCAGCCCAGCAGCCCCCAGTTCCTGGATGGTCTGGGGCTCCCAGCTCCCTCTCCAGTTCACTCCTGGTGCCTCCGTGGTCACTGGTGATGCTGGGCTATCTGACCCTCACACTCGGGCCCTCCTGAGCTTACCACAGGCCGTGGGCACTTGCCCACCCAGAACCCCAGGACAGCGCTGGGCTTCCTACCTTAGTACTTCTCTTTGCAGGGGAGGGGAACTTCGCTGCTTTTCATTTTTAAAGTGGTACTCAGGCGAACACACAGTTACTCCTGTTCTCGGATCCACTAATCAACACTGGCTGGTTCCTGCTGCGGCACCTGCCGGCCACCCATGATGAAAGCCCAGCTCCCCGGGGACCAGGGCCAGAGCCAGGGACAAGCACAGCCAGCAGCCCACTGTCCTGAACAACAAAGTTTTATCAGCACCTGGCCACGCCCCTGGCTTACACAGGCTGCAGTGTGCAGTGTGGGCAGGACTGGGGCCTGGCAGCCCGGCGAGCTGCCCACAAGGCCGGAGATCGTGACTGTGTGTGTGGCTCTTACGCTGCTGGACCCCGACCCAGGGATGGTGGGAGACCAGGGAACCCCTCCTGGCTGGTGAGACACCAGCAAGCCCCCATCTTCCTGTGTCAGCTCAGCAGCTCAGCCTGACCAGGCTCCCTCTAACACACCTCCCGGTGGGCTGGAGCAGCGTGTCAAAGCTGTGAGGGACAGTCCTCCTCGGGGCCCAGGACGGAGCTTGGGCGCACAGGAGCAGGCCACAGGTGGCTACCGGAGTGGACACGCAACCTGGGGGTGACCACAAGGGGCCCCACTCCCAGGCCATGTGGCAAGTGGAGCTCTGCCACCCGCCAGCTGGGTGCCACCCACCCCGGAGCCGAACTTCCCCATCTGGCACCCAGGAGTGGTAGCCATGGCGCTCATCCCTCGGGCCGGGGCTGGGGACACACCTGTCGGCACCTCCCCTGGCCTGTGTGCACCACCAGAAAAGTGTGCAGTCCCAGCTGCAGTCTCCCGGGGACCGGCCCATCCCGGCACAGGGCCGCTCACTAGCCACTGGACAAGTAACCAGCGCCCAGGGGACGCTGGACGCTGCGGCCCGGGCCAAGATGCGGGTGCCACCCGTCCCCCGGGCTGCGTGCGGGGCCAAGGCCAAGCCAGGGATTCGGCCACAGCCCGGGGCCGCCTTCCCACGACCTGGCCGCGGGTGCCCGGCAGGGGCTGGGGGAGCTGCTGCGCACGCGGAAACGGGGGACACGGCATCCTGACAGGGCGAGGCGCGCGCCAACCCGGGTCCTCGGCGCCCTGGGCCGCGTGCCCCTCGTGCACCTGCCCCGAGGGCCACGGGGACGCGCACTGCTCGGGGGGTGCGGCCCCCGGCCGACTTGGCCTCACACCCCGAGGGGCCGCCCCCATTTCCTCCGCCCTTCCCCCTCGTCTCCCTCCCGCGCGCCCCCCGGGGCGGCCACCCCGGCCCCCCTGCAGCCCGCCCATCCCCCACAGCTCGCCTCGCCCTCAGCCAGCTGCCCCCACCCAGCCCAGCCCCTCACTCTGTGCCCCCGCTCACCTCACTCTGCCAGGCGAGGCCCCCCAAAGCCCCTTACCTCCCCGCACATGCGCACACAGCTCACCGGGACTCCATGCCCCGGCAGGCTTTGCGCCAAACTCCCCCGTGTCCCCCCTCCCCTACCCTATCCCCCGAGGCCGTCCAGCCATCCGCAGTCCCTCGGCCCCGGCCTCGCCTGGAACTACACTTCCCCGGAGGCATGGCGGCTAAAGCCGTCTTTCCATTGGCTTTTGCCGTGCCTCTACTCGGCGTTTCCGCCTGGTCGGAACTACACTTCCCATAATCCACCGATGCGCGGCCTCAGGCCTATTGGTCCTCGCCTCTCCTGAGGCGGCAGGCCTTTGGACTACATTTCCCAGAAAGCACTCGGCGCTGCCCGAGGGCCCGCAGGCTGAGCCTCGGAGGCGCGGCTGCGTCGTCATGGAGACTGGAGGAAGCTGGGCGCGGCCCGGTCCTGAGAGACCTGGCAGGCCCAGGAGAGATGGAGGAACGCACGCTGTCAGGAGCGTGGGGTGCGTGTCCTTGAACCCCTGCCTTCTCCACAGCCACTCGGCAGCAGCGAGGCCAGGGTTGGCGCCGCGGCCCCGGGCGCGGGGTCTCACATGCAGCTGGACACGCGCTTCGTGGGTGTGCCGCGAGGGAGCGCGTCCTCCGGCGACCCCATCACTGCAGGCCTGGGCGGGCTGATCCTGAGACGCCGTGGGGCAGGGCGGGTCCTCCCGGGACGTGAAGAAGAGGTTTCACCCCCGGACAGAAGTGAGGACCCCGAGGCCGGGCACAGCCGCCAGCAGCCCTGGAGGTGTGCAGGTGCTCAGCTGGACACTGCACGGGCCTCTTCCCTCCTCCCACGGTGCCGGACCTGCTGCTTTCTTTTTAAACATTCTTATTTATTTGAAACCAGAATTGGAGGGAGACACACACAGCCTACATGCTGCTTCACTCTCCAAGTGGCCACAGCAGCCATGGCTGGGCCAGGCCGAAGCCAGGCGCCGGGAGCCCTGTCCATGTCTCAGCAGGTGCAGCAGCCGTTGTCTGCCGCGCAAGGTGGTCAGCAGACTTGTTCATTCCCTCCCCATCCCAGGAGACACATTTCTTCTCACTACTCCACCCTTTTGAAAGCATCTTAGGAAACACCCAGGTGTTCAGGTCTAAAATGGAAGTGTGGCCCCTGATTCCTAGGTGCCAGCGCTTGCTGTGGGCGCAGCCCTCAGAGGTCAGGGTTGCTGCCAGCACCGCAGTGCCTGATCTCACATGATGCTGGTTCAGGTCCTGGCTGCTCCACTTCCCCCTGGCTCTGTGCTAATGTGCCTGGGAAGCAGGAAAGGCCAGGTACTCCTGGCTCCAAGATGCTCCAGCCCTGACCACTGACAGCCTCTGGGGAGTGAACAGGGCGGGAACTCTGCTTCCGTCCCTGACTCTGTCCCCCAGCCTCTCAGTGTAATGCGAGGAGCACGAAGCAGGGCCTCGGTGGTGGAATAGCAGCCCAAGCCTACACCTCTGGTGCTGGCAGCCCACAGGAGCACCTGTTTGAGAACCAGCTGCTCTGCCTGCAGTGGTCTGGGAAGGCATCGGAGGCTGGTCCAAGTGCTTCGGGCCCTGCACCCGTGTGAGGAAACCAGCAGGAGCTCCTGGCTCCTGGCTTTGGGTTCACTCAGCTCCAGCCATTGTGACCATTCGGGAAGTGAGCCAGCAGATAAAACATCTCTCCTTTCTATGTAACTGCCTTTCAAATGAAAACAAATCTTAAAAAAAAACCTCTGCCTTTCCAATAAATAGATCTAAAAATTACCAAAAACAGGTAAGAGTGAGAAGCAGAACTTGCCCAGTGCTGTCCTCCAGTGTCCCCAGCTCTCTGGACGTCGTCTTACTTCTTGTCTGGCGTCTTCCTGCCCTTACACCTTGTCTGTACGTTTTAACCTGAGGGATCGTCTGCCTTTATTGCAGCTAGATACATACAGCCAAGTTTATCACTGTTGCCGTTTGTTGATCCTAAGTCTTTTCATGCTGTTGGGCAGCGTCAGCTCTGTCCACCTGCACAGGTCGAAGCTCTGAAGCCCTCCAGCGTGTCTCTGCCCTGCCCCGGGGCCCAGCGCCCTGGCGGTCACCTCTGACTTGGACTCCCCCAAGCGTCCTGTGTGAGTGAAACCCCGTGGTGTCTGTCCTTTGGGGAATGGCTTCATTCACTTAGTGTAACGTCCTCCTGGTTCATTGTGGCGTAGCGCGGGTCAGAGCTTCCTGCCTTTGAAAACTGGATAGTATTCCAGAGTGTGACTGAGCATGCACATTTCATGCTGTTGACCAGGAGGCGCTTTTGTGGATGAAAGAGAGCCATGTTGTTGCTTGGCTTGGCAGCCTGCAGTACAAACCTGGCCCTGGCCTCCACGGCCTCCACGGCCTCCACGGCCTCCACGGCCTCCACGGGTCCACAGTTCCTCCAGCTCGTGTGGCGTCACAGTGCATGTTACAGGAGGTGCCCCGCAGGAGCTGGGCACAAAGTGCAGCAAGCAGATGCAAGCCATCCCAGCCCCCGCCCCTCAGTGGCCAGGAGCCTGGAGCTGGATGCGAGGAAGCCTTTCGCCTGTCCTAATGCATGCTGTTGGCAACAGGCCCGTGCCCGGCACAGTGCCACCCCTGTGGCGGACAGACCTCAGAGTCACCTGCAGAGCCTCCCTGGCAACTGGTCAGACATGCAAATGCTTGGCCTCTCCCTCAGCCTCACTGTATCCAACCGGAGGCGGGGGCGGAACGCAGGCTGGTGTGTCCCTGTCATCTGCCTGCTTCCTCAGTGCTCACCCTCCTCGTGCACCGCCAGGTGGCACGGGTCACACATGCCAAGCGCACAGAACGCTGCCTGCTCAGACTAAGAGGTCAGGAAACAACGTCAACTATTTACTTCACCTGCGGCCAAGTGACCCAGGCGTGCCAGCAGTGACCCAGGCATGCCCAGCAGTGACCCAGGCGTGCCCAGCCCTATGCAAATGGGACACTCCTTCCCGAAGCTGCAGCACGCAGGCTCCCTGCCCGTCAGGGTGCTGCACACTCGGTGATCTGTTCAACCCATGTATGCCGTGAGAGCATCTGTCGTGGCGAGTGGAGGGCAAGCTCAGAACTGAGCAGCACCCCGTGCCAGGAGCCCCGAGCCTCAGCTACTTCCTCTGAAATGGAGACGGCGCACTCCGACGGGGGGTGCAGAGCAGTGAACAGCCGAGGCCCAGCCTCACTGGTCTTGCACTGTCCCCGCCAGTGTTTGGTGAGGCCGGGAGTGTGGCGCTGTCCTGGCTGAGGCGAGGGCAGGTTTGCCAGGCTTCTGTGAGAGCCCCCGTCAGCGCGTATGACACGGAGAAACTGCTTTCTGCTCTTGTCCTGGCGGAGGTAACCGGTCGCACAGGGTCATGAGGGTGACTGTCAGCCCTCACACTTAGACTGAGGGGGAGCAGGAACCCAGGCCTTTCCTGGCGTGGCTGAGGGGCTGCGGGGAATGGAGTGGCAGGTCCCAGTGCCAGCTTCCCGGGAGGCCGTCCAGGGTGGGCACCGAGGCCCGGGGCTGGAGGGGCTGGGGCTCTGGGCTCACTCCGAGGTCGCCTGCACCCATCTTGACACTCCTGAGTTCTTTTTCTTACCGTGGGTTCTGCGTTTCCACTTCACGTGGGCCCTGGGCACAGACGCGTTCGGTGGGTGCGTGCCACCGCAGGACAGGAGCCAGTGTGAATGCGCTGTGAACGCTGGTCACACTCAGGCAGCTGTGTCCTTCGACCTGGTCACGGCGGCCACCTCTTGGTGACCCGTTCCGGTGTCACTTCCTGGGGAAACCTAGCCCAGGCCGCCCTGCCCACTCAGTCCAAGCACCTCACCCGAGCCCCCCATGACTCCCCCATTCTCAGGCTCTGATTTTCTGCGATGGCTGCACAGTGTCCGAGGTGAGCAGTTCGCTGAGGGCCCAGGTCCTGCTGCCTGCCCCGCGCAGCTCTCAGCCGGGGCTGCCTGTGGCGGGGCAGCGTGGAGGGGCAGCATGGAGGGAAGGTGCTTTGAGCCTGTTTCCCAGGCCCCAGGCCCTCCGGAGGCTCTGGCCTCTTTCTAACCGCGCTGTAATTACCACTCCAAATAATAATTAGCGTTTTCTCTTTGTGTGGTGCTTTGAAGGAGTGAGTCCTGCAGGGCAGGGATGGGGTTCGGTTCATCTCTGGGTCTCCAGGCCCTGCGCCTGACGGGATGTCTGGGTCATGTTTATTGGATAAATGAGGTAGGTGAGCGAGCGAAGGCAGCAGGGTGGAGGGGGCGGTTCTAGAAAGAGTGGGCTGAGCACCGGGCCGGGAGCCTGGGTCCTGTTTACTGGTAAGCCAGGGACGCGGCGAGGCCTGGAAGTGAGCAGGATGAACTCAGGGCAGGTTCCTTGGCGGGGGTGAGGGAGCCGGCAGTGGGAGGGCTCTGAGCCTGACTCATTCTTGGGATCCCCTGCCCCCAGGGAAGTGTTTGAGAATGGATAATTAAATTAATAAATGAATTGCTTAATGATGGGATCACACCACCCGTGTTTTATCTCACCCTGCGGGGTGGCAGAGATCAAAGTGTCAGGTTTACAGCTGGGGTGAGCGAGCCTGGAGGAGCAAGTGCACTTTCCCCGGTGCTGGTGATGCGATGCAGCCAGGCACTTGGGGTCAGAGCCGTACGCCTCAGTGGTGGGGACTGGGCACAGTTCCTGCCCCGTGCTCAGCTCGGCCAGGATGAGCACGGTTTCCTGAAGGTGAACCCTGGCGCCCTTCCGCTCTCGGCCCTTGGGGAAGCTGGGAAGCCCGGCTGTGTTCCCACAGGCCCTGGCCCTGACCCTTCTGCGGTGATGCAGTTTTTTTCCTCTTTTTTTGTTGTTGTATTTAGCTTTATGGGAAAGGCAGATTTACAGAGAACCATCTTCCATCCACTGGTTCACGCCTCGGATGTGCACTGTGGCCAGAACTGAGCTGATCCAAAGGCAGGATCCAAAGCCTGGAGCCAGGAGCTTCCGGGTCTCCCACATGGTGCAGGGTCCCAAAGCTCTGGGCCGTCCTCACTGCTTTCCCAGGCCACAGGCAGGGAGCTGGATGGGAAGTGGAGCTG